TGTTTATTTTCTTTGTGATTGTTTTGCATAAAATCATTGAACCCGGAGCTACTTAACAATATAATACTTTTAAAACAGAAATAACACAATTTAAAACGATAAAATAAATTTTAATATAAATATTGCATTAGTTATAAATGTTCAAAATAAATTCTTGGAGCTGAATTTCAAGGAATTTTGTTGAAAAAAACAAACAAAAATTTAAATTTTGCTGTATGTTTGGCAGTTTGTTATAACATCTGTATAGTGTGCTGACATTTAAATAAATAATTGATAAAATAAAGACCTAAGTACAGCGTTTCTCAAACTGGGGGGCCCCCCCCCCCGCGCGGCGGGGCACACCCCCCCCGGGGGGGGGGGCGCGAGCATATTGAAAAGTCTAAAACAAATGATTATTTAAAAAAATTACAAATTTACTAAAAGGAATCAAACAAATTACATTTTGGCCTAATAAAAATAAAATGAACATTTACACTGATATAATACACTTATAAATGTAACACCACTGCGCAATGTGTTTTATGATTAATTTAACAATACTAAGTTAAAAACAAATTTAACAATTACCAGTGACCCCAGTCTTGTCATATATAAAATTATATACAAAAATTAACACTTATCTTGATAATTTTTGTACATTTTATAATTAATCCCTTAAATGACTTTTAAAAGTTACGCGATTCACTCTCCAATGCCACCGTTTTCCACGTAGGCGTGCGTATGTGATACATTGGCGGGGGGAGGGAAGAATAAATAAGCAAATCCTCTGAAATAAATAAACCCTTCGAAAACACAGCCCAGGTCTTTTTATTGCATTCCAAAGCCTTCGGAATTACTTTATGGATAGTAGTGCACAGAAAATATCATACATCGTAAAGACGTATATATACGTCCGGAGAAAATAACGCTTTGGCTGAGCGAGACGTTTATATACGTCAGTGGCACTTAAGAAGTTTAAATCGTATTGTAGTTGTAGCATCAAAGTATAGTAAAATTGAATTCAATACATTGGTATTGTATTGAGGGGAGCGCGATGAGAATTATGATTGAATATTGGGTCACCAATATTGAAAGTTTGAGAAACACTGCCTTAGTACACTGTTAATAATCAGATTCAACAATTGTATTCTGTTGAAATAGAAGATATATGAACAGAAAGCTATTATTTTTATTCTAGAGCCAACATCCTCATCATTCGTATCATTAATAATATTGATTAAAAAGTTCAAGTAGAATAGAGAGAAAATAGTATATTCCCAGAGAAGTATTATTAGTACTTTTCCGTTTCACCGGCGCAAATCTCACTAAGAGAACGTTATTGGCAACAATACACACAATTACACATGAGAAAATATTAATAAATATTGGTCATCATTGGTTTTTCATCCATTTTTTTATGTATTATGGAAAATACGCGGCTGATAAGTAAATACCACAACTTGTTTTAAAAATGTGGTTGTAAAAGGTTACTAGCGGGAATATTCCGTTTGGAGTCGGTTGTACCAGTTTTGGCGATTCTACTGCCTGATTCTACGGAAAAATGCCGTATTTTATCCAGTATCTTTATCAGAAAAAAAAAAAACCTGGGTATATATTAAATTTAACAAAATATTGCGCAGATAAATGAAATGAAAAAAAAAAGTGTGTGTGTACTTATGTACGCACGTAAGAAGTTATACTTCTTTGGCGTAACAAGATTAAAATCTTTTTAAAATCTTTAGCAGGGCAAGCTGGGCCAAGGACGAAAGGCGGTCACGAGCAGAGTTGAACGATACTAACCTTCAGTCAATTGGACCAGCCAAACCTGAAATAATCACGATTTAAATCAATTTAAACACCCCCGCAATGGAACAATA